ACAGCAAAGAAATTTGCTAAGGAATTGATAATGGCCTTTTTTCCTTTGGGAAAGGAATTAAACTGCTTTACATTTTTGGTAGATAGCCAGTGTTTTGTCATTTAGACATGTCACATTACTATGAAAACATCATGCATCATAACACAGCATAACTATGTGATTTGCTGAAGTGCTAGTTTCTCGAAAAAAAAAAAAGAGGGGAAAAGAGAGAGAAAAAAATGATAAAAGGCAGGCATTTTTTTTCAATGTCAGAGCCATTCAGCATATTTTTCTTTTCCCCAAGAGCCAGTAGCAGGAAGCTCTCAAATTGGCCCCAGTCTCTGGTGACCAGGTGTAAGTGGGCTTCTGTGAATGTGAGAGGACACCATAAGCTTTGTTTCTAATCAGAGAACATACATGTAAAGTTATGACATGTTCCAGTGCAGCTAGTTGCATGCAAGCTATTCATTTGTCAGGAAAATGGAAGGACTAGACCCCGGCTCTTAAAACACAACCCAACTTCTTCAGTGACTTGAAATTGTCTTTTGGGAGAGTGATAATACTCTGCCTTGTTACATTGACTAACCGAAGTATTGGTTTGGAATGACCTTGAAGTGAGAGGAAAAGAAAACTGCTTCCCAAAAGCCGGTAAATATAACCATTTCTGTGTGGGAACTAGGGATTGGTTATTCTAAAATGCAGATTTGTCTTCTGTGTGCAAACCGAGGCTGCAGTCCTCAACTGCCTCTTCCTGTCCCCATTAAATAAAATTGTCACAATTTAACATGGAAAATTTTTAATTGAAGATCTCATCTCATTTTAAACTTGGGTTTTGAGAAGATCTTGTTTCATAGGCCTGTTCAATTTACCTCAACCCATCTTTAAATTGAAATTAGAAATAAGGTCCCAGATGAGAATATAAGCAAGCAGCTTATTGCATTGTTCAACATTTAGAAAATGAAGGATTTTTTTCAACTATAAATAGAGTTTAATGGAAGTTACCTCATGCTGCTATTATGGGAAAAAAAAAAAGCAATATGATACATTACTTGTGGAATTTGATGAAAAGCCTGTTAATGCAATGGAGTTGAGTATCAGCATTGATTTTATTTTCCAAGACATATTTGTAATCATTTTTATAATAGTTCAGGGAAAAAGGCAAGATGCTTTTGCAACAGAGATAAAATATTCCTATCAAAGTGAATAGCACCTGCTAGGACTTAGATTCAAGCACTAACTCCAACAGAAGTGAAATTATAACCTGACAATGTGAGCCTCCAGTGTTCTCTGGAATCCGAGGCTTCCAGAGAATTTGCCCTTCCGCACCAGATGTGTAAAGCCTGCCTAACAGTGTAACCCTGTCCTGATACAAAGGGGTTAGTTCTTTTAACGTTTTAAATGATTCATTCTTCTTTCTGATATTACAGTAGTCGGTGTTCATTGAGGAAAACCTGGAAACTACAGAAAATAATAAAAAAGAAAGTCACAACTATCTTACCATTGAATGGTAAGGATGGCTAACATTCTTATGTATAATAGTTCCTTCTAGTCTTTTTTCTACTTCCAATAATTTTGGTGAATTTTTAACAATTCACAGCTTATACAGACATTTAAATTACATCAAGATAGTCTATACTTCATATTTTCTATTACAAAATATACTTTCCATGCCTCATTTTCCACAAATTGCATTTCATTTTGTTTGGAAGGTTTGTTTTCATATTTATTTTGCTAAAATTCCACAGTGTGCTTGAAATACCCCATCTATTGTTTACCATGTTATTTTTAGAAAATTATTCTTTGTGCACTCTGTGTTTGTGTATAAGATTAAGATTAGCACCACTTCTGTGTTTATGCAAATAAACTTATGATGTTATAATGACAGGTTTTATATTTACCAATTTTCCACTTTTCAGAATGCCTTCTTGGATAGTTTACGATTTCATGATTGGATTTCATGATTGAATAGTTTATGATTTTTTAAGATTGAGACTGGGTAGATTTTAAATAGGTTTTACAAATGTAGCAAAACAGAGTTAGTAAACACTATATATTACAGTTGTACAGTTGTGCAAAACTAGGAGAAATACATTTATTGATCTCCTGAGAGCAGTAATTGCAGTGTGAGGAGATGGCACTCTATTCACATGCTTCCAGTGCTTCGAAGTTCTTTGCTTTGATTGAACGCAGCACTCCAGCATTTCTCCAATAAGATGCAGCTCATAAAACTGTTTGAGTTACTCTGTCAAAAGTAGCCTTAGAATAAGCTGTTGAAGTTGCCACGTAAATGAGATGTTTCAAATGATTTAAAAATTTGCAGCAGCATTTTGATTGTCAATTTAGGTAAAGGTCTTTAGAAAGCAAATACAATACACTGTAGATATGGTTACGCTGTGAGTTGTCAATGTTCTTTTATAAACATGATTACATGTAGTAGGTCATTATAATACAAAAGAAGCCTTCTTAGACCTCGATGGCATTCTAATAGCATTCTGTAGCATTTAGGAAATGGCCTTTTGGCTGATGGGGAGTGAGATAACTTTCTCTTCCTAATGTTAGGATTTTCAGCATTATATTAATACCTTTTCTGCCAGGGCTTAGAAACATTTGTTTTTTAAAAAATGGGGGAAGGTGGGAAGTGATGTGACTGGATATCTGTTTTGCTATGAACCATTGATCATACATTTTCCTCCTCGCCCAGGTAAGCAGCAACAAAGGTTTATTGAGCATCTTATATGAAAAACATGTTAAATTCTCTTCAAATGGCTTTAAATAAAAGTTTAGGAGCTTTTGATATATAGGAGGGGCTTAACTGCTAGAATGATTAGTCAATTCATTTGTCCATTCATCTATTTATTCTGCAAATATTTATTAAGTACTTAATATCTACCACACATCCCAATGTGTTGTCTTCCCCAGACTTTCAAGTTTTCCATTCTGGGAAAACTTAGGCTTCCACTAAATGATTTGGTAAGGTTGCAAGAAAGGAGAGAGACAAACCATTTCCTAATTGAATGTCAGGCAAAATTGATCTTTAATGGAAATGTTCAGGTATCAGCAAACTTTGTGCTCAGATGAAGTGGTAACTTTGCAAAGATATGCGTCTATGTCTAAAAATCCAAACAGGAAACCTTGATGTGGAACTGGGTAGGGGATCAAAGAGCCTGGCTTTGGACCCAAGGCACAGTGACCTTTTGGAATGACCTTGGAAGTTATAAACGGCCAGTAGGGACAAGAGACCTGAGCAAGAAAACCAAACAATGTGAAACTAAAATTCAGTCTTTAGCTTTATAGGTTTAAAAAATTCCAAAGGAAAGCTTGGAAATGACGTATTCCAAGAATACCGTGACATCATTTTTATTTGATTTAATGATTTGCATATTTGGAGGATGACTTGTTTAGCACCAAAGTATGTTTAGATTAGTTTATTCATAACTCTCACTCATTTGTATCACATATATTTTGTATGCAACTGGAATATTTTGTCAGGTCAGTAGCCACAAAGAGTTAGCAAGTAAAATCATCTTAATTGTAATGCCATCTAGGATAGAAAATCAAGAAGCTATGGACACATGTTAACTGGGTCCTTTCTCTGTTTACTTTTCTAACGTAATTTCATTTTAATAGTAATGAAGCATAGTATAAAGGATTCAGATCCACCCCATCAACTCATAAACGGTCTTTGATTCATTTTTCAGTCTTTGATAGATTTTAGGTGCAAGACAATAAAATCATACAACATAAGGCTTTTACATCAGAAAATATGGAAATGGAACAGTAGTCATTCTCCTTAGGACAGAGCCCTCTATCTGGAGAGAACAAGAGATTTCACCCCGTTCTATGAAGTTTACTCATTTTGGTTTGTTGTTCTGATTTGTAGTGACAGCATCTGTAAAGAGCACAGGCTTCCTCCAGTAGATTGCATCATTGTTCCCATGTTTCATTCCCCTTTCCTGTAAGAGGATTACACACCCCTGCCTACTACCATGTGACTTGCAGGCCTCCTGTGGAGGAGGATGCGCCCCTGCCCCATCAACATGCAGCCCAAGTTTGGCCATGTGACTTGCTTTTGGTAAGGGTAGGTGAACAGATGTCTGAAGAGCTGTTGCCTATCTCCATCAGCTCTCTGGCTCTTTTCCTCTCCCCCAAAAATCGTATGTTCAAATAGAAGCTGGGCCTTCAGTCTAGATCTAGGAATGAAGAAGACAGACAGATGGAGAAAACTCATAGCTCAGTCACTGACATCCTTAGCAGACATGTAACATAAATGAGAAGTAAACATTTGTTTTTGTAAGCCCCTACCATTCAGGGTTGTTACCACAGCAAAGCTTATCAAATACAATTGCCAAAGGCCTGCCCAAGCATTTCCCCATCCTCATCAAACCGGTCTGCACTTCTGCATGTCTCCTCAACTCGAAGTCTTCCTCCAGTACTGCTCTCTTGCTCACAAACCTTCCATGTCTCCTTGTTTCAGATTCTAACCTTGTCTATTTCTAAGGCAGCCTACAATCTAATTCATATGTCAAACATTTTGTTATTACTCCACACAGCCTCCAACACTAGTTGGGCCAGTTTCCTCATTGTCCCTCAAACTCCACACATATGTTTAGGACATTAGAATGTGCTCCCAACACTGACTAGCTGGGTGACGTTGAGCAAGTTACTCAAGATGTCTAAGCTTCAATTTCCTTATCTTCAAAATGGGGATAATAAAAGTACCCAGCTCACAGGGCTGTAATATTACCTAAAGTTAAGCATGTAAAGTGCTCAGTGAGGTACCTGTCGCTTAGTAAATGCTCAATAAATGTTAACTGGCATTGTGTTGTTGCCTTCACCTGGAATGCTGTTCTTCTTTCTGATTTATCTCAGTTCTAACCGAACTTCAAGTTTGAATTCAAAGTCCACTTTCTCTGTGAGGTTTTCCCTTATGGTTTTTTTGGTAGTGTCTTTTACTTGCTCATTATTGTTTCCTCCTGGTTTTAAGGTTTTTGAAAACAGCGATGAGTTAAACCTACTCTGTATCTTCTATAGGCTGAGGACATCATGACTGTCCAACCTCATTGATTGACAGTAATTCCCTTGTTGAAGTTATTCATTTTGAGAGCTAGTTATTTGGGGAGAGGGGTGGTGGGAAGAGAGAGAATCAGTATAGAAATGACCGTTGTTTTAGCAGAATGCTACTTTCAGACTACTCTGAAAGTGGTTGACATCTGGCATGTCATCCAGTTCTCTTCCTAAGTACACCCCAAACTTGAAAGGGTCATGTAGCCCTCACAATAGGTTTGGTATTAAGATAAAAACATGTCAAGAATTCAAAGCTAAAGGAGGTGAGGCTCAGGCACTAGAGTTAGTTTTCAGTGTGGAGCTCCAGGGTGACTTCAGTATTACTCAGTTTAATCGGGGGAGTTTTGAAAGGGAAGATCATTTCTAGTTCAATGAAGTGTATGTTCCGCCAAGGTGAAATAGTCTTGTGTTATTTGGGACTCACTGCCGAGTACTTTATTAATTGTTTTCAGATTGGAAAATAAAGTTACAGCCTTTCCAGGAAACTCTGGGAGTCAATTTATTTTACTGAGGGAATGGGGGCACAGACAAGCAGCTTGCCAATTCTATCCAACTGTGAAGAACAAGGAATTATGGGAAGTTTGCTGTATGAGTCATGGTCAGAGTAAAAGCTTTTGCTTCACGGCTTAAGGTATGTATAAGTTATGTGCAAAATAAGTAACTGGGGCTCTGTGTTTGGATGTTTCATTGTCCACTTTAATTTGTATCATTCACTAAAAAAAATGATTCACATGAAGCAAGTGTATCACAAATCCATCTGTAATCATTAAATTGAAAGTAATTTTAGAAAGTACTACCCTCAACAGAGAACTCTATTATTAATTTAGCTGTGGCTGGGAAGCTGTCTTGGAGCTGGGAGCTGGTGTTTTAGCTAGGTTAGATGAATGAATGGGAACAAAATCTGATTGAAGAACACTGGTTGGAATAGATAATGCTTACCTTCAAGGTGTTGATAATTATAGTGGGGGGAAATCTCAGATATTTTTATGGCAAAATGTGTTTTGCTGGACGTATTTTACTAGACACATAAAGAATGTTGAAAATGAGTGAATAATTACAGTACCTAATTTTTTAAAAGTATGAATACATATGTGAAAGTTGTAGGAATGTATTTGATAAACCAAATAATGGTAGAAGAGGAGATTACATCAAAGAACAGGGTTATAAAGCCATGTTTATTATCTTTTGTGAGAACAATGTGGCACCATTCAATTTGTTCGTTGCTGTATGTTGAATAGTTCTCAGGAGACCTGAAATCCACCATTAAGCTGACTGATTTACATGCAAATAGTGGTCTTCTCACTCAGTTGTGTATAGACTAATATTTGTAAAGACTTTGTATTTTGCGCAGAAATGTTTTGCAATTACTTAAAAAATTATTTAAAATAAAGATATTGCAGTATCTGTTAGACATTTTAAACTAGAAATCTATATACCTTTAAAAATACCAGACTTTGAAATGCAGTAAACGGCACATGTGCAGAAATATCTACACACATATAAGATAATTGCTGGCAATCAAATGACTTGCCCATCAAAACAAGCAAATGATGTCTGTTTTACTCTAAATTCATGGATGCTGTCTTCGTTAGGAGTGTTAACTTATCAAAACATCATTTCTTGTACTTAGAAAATGATCAAAAAAATTTCCTTAGGTGGATGATAGATTTTGAAAAACATTCTTTTGATGTGTGAGTTCAAATTAGGACAGCTAAATTAGAAGGAAGATATTGAGAAGTAAATATTTGAGTTCCTCTCTATTGACAGGCACTGTGAGTGGAACTGGTGGTTCAAAGTGGAGAAAAGCACAGTCCTGGTAGCCCTACGGGAGATCATGGGTGAGAGTGAGAGAGTGACGTGTAACTCTGTGCTCTGAGGGCAAGGCAGGAAGTCACACTGGTGGAGAATGGCCTCTCCACTAGGCATCACAAAGCCTTTTTGGATGGCCTGTGCTGGACCTGAGTTTTCAAGAATGAATAAAAATTAGTCAGATGAAAGTGTACTTCAGGCAGTGGCCATAGAGCGATACTGTCAGGGAATAATAACTAATTCCTTTTGGGTGTTGGGGAAGGAGGAAGTGGCATAAGTTGAGGGCAGGGAGACAGGCAAGGGGCAGACTGTGAACAGATTTGTGTGATAGGTCTGATGACTGAGTTTTAGTCTGATATTTAAGGGGCACCTGTGGAGGTATTTAAGCAAGGGGGTACATGATCAGCTGTGAAATTTAGAGGGGTCTCTGATAGCAGTGAGCATGGATGGGAGACACAAAATGGGCCAAGGAAAGCAGTGAGGAGGGGAGCCCCTTGATGAGCTGGTACAAGGCAGTGACAGTGGGGAAAGAGAGGAGAGGATGGATCCAAGAGATGTTGAGGAGGTAGAAGGACCTAGGCCTAGTCTATCATCTCTAGTTATACTTCCCATATCTTTAAAATGGAAGTAATACTTGTACTATATACTCTATAGAGTTGTTGTGTGGATTAAATGTAAAACACTTAGCATAGAGCCTGGCACATAGCATCGGTTCAATGAATGTTAGTTTATGGTACTTCATAATGCATCAGCATAACTTGGTAGGTGATGGGAAGGAAGGGAGAACATAAGCAACTACTGTCTTTTGATGAGGCACTGGGTGAAAAGCAGTGTATTCTCAGATAGGTGACTGTGGGGAAGGCATCAACTCTGAAGCACAGAAGCCGGATTGTAGTGGGTTCAAAACAAATTCAGCGTGAAGAATTGTGGAAAAGACAGATTATTCTAACAAGATATTTGACTGTGAAGGGAAGGAGAAAAACAAGATAATAGCCAATGGGAGATGTTATATAAAGGTTTTCTTTTGTTGTTTTGTTCTCATTTTGGGTTGTTTGTAACATACATAAGACTATGTTCAAATGGGTCAAGAGTCAGGAAATAGTGGCAAAGGGATCATTGGTGTAATGAACCCTGAGATTATGTTGGAACAAAACAGGAAAACAAAAGAGAGCTGATATATGGGCAGGGATTAGAATTATTCAAGACATGTCTGGAAAGAGTAAATGCATTAACAATTGGAGAGAGAGAGAGAAGAGAAGGGAGAAAGTGCTGGGAGAATCAGAGAGACTGTGGTCGGAGAGTGGCACATGGGACTTTATGTTCACATCCTAGATACCGCAAGAATATGGTTATGGGAGTGGGTTGCAGAATGGTTTGGTTATCAGAATCGAAGAAATCAAGGAACTAGAATACAGGAAGAGTTACCCTAACATACATTGAAATTGTCCAAAGCAGCTGGAGATGGGGACAGGGAGAGACAAATATCCTGAGCCAGGTGCCATAATCCTCAACCAAGGAATGGGAAAAATCCAGGAGTAATGAGCCACACAGAGAGATTTAGGATGAGTCTCAAGGGACATGTTTTTAAGTCAGTGTAAAGGAGCAGTGGTTTGGAAAAGGCTATGGGGAACATGAAGACTGTTTGTCTTGTGCACATTGTGGTTAACGGAGAGGGGAAGAATGAGAAACTGCTACTCCCGAGGAAAGAGCTGGTGGGGATGTCAAGAGGAAGATGAGTTGGGAGCAGAATTGGGGTATAAATAAAAAGACAGAAAACGGGGCCTCTCTTTTGAGTAGTAGTAAAGAATGGCAAGGATGAGAAGCATGGTAGAACCGAGTGGTCCCGAACTTCCATTTGGACACAGGCAGAGGCACTGGAGGGTGGCAGCAGACTGTAGCCTAATACACAATATATTCAACTCTGTGTTTTATATGCCTCTGCTTTGTTTATGTTTCTCTTTTGCGTCCAACATTTTGACTATTTCACTGTGTGTGAGAACTTTAGGCAGAAAATTGAGGGAGAGAGATAGTGAGAAGGAGTGAAAATCTAGTCAGTAGTTGATTGCATATTGTGATGAAACCTTAGAAATTGTTGTTTTTGTGAAATAACTGCTGCACATAGTTGAAATTATCTAATGGCCTAAACCAAGCAAAACAATATGGTCAATGGGAAGGTGACTTTTTGTATCTATCTTCTTTTTTTTTTCTTTCTTCCTTCCTTCTTCCCTCTCTTTCATACCTTGTTTTTTCTCCTCCCTTCCATTTAAAATGCATATGTTGTGTTTTAACTACCAAAGCACTGTGCTTGGTTTTTGGTGGGGTAAATTGGTGGTGGTGGTATACAATGAACAGAACTTAGTTCCTACTCCTAAAGTCATTATAGATAAGGAAAGAGACTGACATTATACATAATTATACCTATAATACCAGCAAAAAGCATGGACTAAAATCATGGAGTAAAGGATAGTTTATAGAATTGTAGAATAAGGAGCAATTAAAGAATATGAAATGCTTTATGAATTTATGTGCCTCAGTGGGATTTTTGGTCCTGATATGACAATAACACTCTCTAAATTTCAAAGTCTAGATGGCTTTATATATGTAGGATTTACTTTGGTTCTCTGCCATCAGCATTGATAACTGACATACATGCAATATATAATATTCAAATGCTATTGCTATTGAATGGTTCAAAATATATTAATGTTATGATCTATTGACACATATAAATAAGCCCTGAAGATGATTAAAGGAACTATAGGTAATCCAGAAATATATAACTTGTTTTTGCATGAGTGTACATGAACTTATAGTTTGTGGCTAATCACTGATGTGCTCAGAGAATAGAAATATTTACTCTTGGAGAAAAGGTTTCAAGTACATATCAAATTTTTACATAGAGGATGCTGCAGCAATCTTCATCTATCTCAAGACTAGAACTAACAATTAATTGTATCTATACAACACCAATCATTTCCATAAAAAGTGAAAATAATTCATGTGTTCATTCATTCATTCAGTTGTCAAATGATCATTGAGTGCTTTCAAGTGCTAGGAACTACACTAAGCTTTGGGGAAATGATAGTGAGCAAAACCAGATAGGATTTGTCTCCTCCTGGGGCTTGAGGAAGATGGAATGTAATCAAATATTTGCACAGATAAAAATAAAATCACACCTGTGAGGTATAAGACAAGGGAGAAGTGCAGAGTGTTAGGAGAACTCGTAGTTGATTTGATCTGGTCAGGAAGGTCGGGCAAGTGTCCACCCAGGAAGTGAAATGGAGTGGATATCTAAATAATGATTAGGTATTAACTAGGTAAAGATGGGTGGCAGTCAGGGACTGAATCTTTTCAGGCTGAAAGAGTGTTAGTGAGTATTCTCCATGATGGCAGGATCAGAGAGTGCAAGGAGGGCCCTGGTGTGGGGCGAGATGTGGGATGGAAGAGGCAGCCGGACTGCTTGGGGCTTTATAGTTCTTCTTTGCTGTGAAGGCAAAATATACAGCAAGTGAATTCAATTCCTGTTCATATCTTTCACCTTGATATAGATACATCTCAAGGCAAATGTCATTTCCAAGAATAAAGTAGAGAAGACATTATTGTCATGATAGAATATTTAATAAAATGTAAAAATGGTAATATCCTTTATTTTTTCTTTCCGGTAAAGGCAAGACAGCACACCTCTTCTTCAAGCATAAAATAAATATATAAATAAGAGGAAAAATAAGATCTCTAGCTCCTATCTTGTTTATCCTAATCAGGATTAGCTTTATCCTAATCAACAATCTTATATTCAACCTTAATGATATTTCATTAGCTTCTCAGAACCACCTTTCCTGTCTAGGTCTAATTATATCTAATGTAATGTATCTCAACTCACTATATTAAATCATTTTTTAAAAAACATTTAAAAAACATTTTAAAATCACTCCAGAGCTTTGAGTTAGGCCTTAGAACAGATTGAGCCCTCTTATTTCTTTTTGGGGTCCATGACCTTCCAGTTTTCTCCTCAACACTTCTTCTTTATTCTCCTCATATCTCATCCAGAGAGATGAAAAGAAACAATTTTCCTTTGTAACAATTCATAAATAGTCTACATAAATAAAATACAAACATAAACATCTGTCCTAATCAACCCTTAAAATAAGTCAGTTATTCAATATGCTTCACGTTGTGAATAGAGACCAACTCTGTCTTGCCTGTGCTCACGTTGGCCCTCACAGATAACCCTCAATGGACTGAGAGTCTCAGGCACATCTAGGGATATATTTTAATATCCTGTTATCCCCTAGAGATACCAAGGTTCTAAACCTTACGGATACTAAGCTTCAAAGAACGTGGTTTAGAAATGACACAGAAATACTACCTCAGAGAATCTGTGTAGTAATGTCATGGGACTCTTTGTCACAGAAATACACAAACAAAACATGTTCAAACCAAAGTATGCAAACAAAAATGTACAAACAAAAATCCAAAGATGTGAAATGGTAAGGAATCATTACCTCTGCCATTTCTCTTTGACGACCTTTCGGTGGTGTGTTTTCATAAACTGCCGCCTTTGGATGTGCTAGGCAGAGAATGCTCAGATTTCCTTCAACGTGCCTTGCGGGTACTGTATTCAGTGGACTTGTAGGAGAAATAGATTGCTGCTCTTCTGCTCCACGGATGGTTCCTGTGATTTTTTCCTTCACTAAAAATAATGTTTTGGGACTAATAAAGAAAAATATTCCCATCTCCTCTCTGCGATGGTAATAAGTAATCAGGTGTGCATTCAATTAAATCTGGCATGCTCAGTATACAGAAGGGTGGATCAGAATGCAAGAGAAAAATGCAAATTTTATAAATGGAAGAAGTGGAATATACAATAATATGCAATACAATAGAGAAAATCAGAAAGCTAGGGCCTTCCAGGCAAAGAGAAAGAGGACTACTTGCTGTCTTTTTAAGTGAAAAACTGAAGGACTTCTGTTAACCAAGCCTATTGGACTTGAACTTTGGGGTTATTTTTAAGAGTAACGGACAAAAACAATGGTCTCTAGAGGACAAACCTTGACAACTACTGATGAAGACAGGCTAAATTCAGTGTGTCCGTAACTTCCACTCGGTGAGAAATGACAGGGAGCTACAATCAGAACTTGAGTTTGTTTGAGGAGACTAAAAACGGTGTGGTCTACAGGTGCATCCTTGATGACAGTGGAAATAACAGGGTGCGAGGGTCCCGTTACAGAAAGGGGGGCACGTTTTGTTTTTAAGGTATTACATTTTAACCTGGCAAGAGAGAGGGAAAAAAGCCAACGTTCTTAGGCTAGAAGTTGTTTTTGAAAATGTTCTTAGTACTTGGAGATATGGAGATGGCAAATCAGCAAATAAATGAAGGTATCTTTAAGGGAAAAGGCTGTTAACATTTTTTTCCAGAAATGCAATATCACTTACTTGGAGGAACAGAAATGATTAATATAATCTTTGTGTTCAGGGAAGCTATTCCACAAGATAAAAGGCTAGTAATCTAATAACTAGCATATCAGTATTATTTTATTTGCTTTTTCCTGTTTGTAGAAGAACTCCGGTGCTATCTTGTTATTGTTGTTATACTTGGCTAGTTACACATCTACGATAAGAGAGCATAATTAATGTGAAAAATTATACTGAAATGGTTGTGTTTATTTTGTGTCACTTCAGCAATGCCCCTTCAGGAGTGCTATTCTTATTTCCACTTGCATTCAATAATAGGCTTGCAGCCAGTGGCACTGTGTTTACACAGTTTTTGTCAAAACAATTTTATCTCTAATAGATTTTTATCTACATCGACTGAAAACTTCTGTTTCTGTTTAAAACTTTAATGTGATTTCTTGCATCTCTATTTCAGGCAATAGAAAAACTTTTGAACTTACATATACTTGGCAGCTTTATATTTTTTCTTTCATAAAGTTGATTTAGTTTTTAAAATAGGGGGAAAATGCCCTTAAAATTAGGCATCTCATTTTTAAATGGTCTTTGAGGAAAGCAACAAATTTGAACATAGTCGATTCCATTCATTCACCACAGAAAGGAGCATTTAAAAAATACTGCTGTGCTGTGACCTACAGAACATTAGAATTGGTTGCAAATATAAATTAATTCCCCACAAACATTAAATGAACCCCCACAAACCTTATTTTGGAATATATAGGGAGATATTTTCATTTCGATGCACAAGGATTTACACGTGTGGCTCCCTATTAGCATTACTCAGGTAAATCCCATTAAAAAATGCATACGCTTCTGAGTGTATAAATTTATACATGAAGCACAGTTAAAGTATATCAGTGTTAATACTGTACCGTGGGAATACAACATGACGAGGAAATTGGCAATACAATTAAAGTTCACATAGTGTTAGAATTTTCTCATTAAGATAAAAAAAGTTTTCATGACAATATAAGAGGATAAATCAAAACTTACTAGTACAACTAGAACAAATCTGTGCATTTCAGGATAGCTCTGAAACAGGCATAATAAGGAAGATCAATGCTCTGGATCTCTCGTAAGGGACTCTCCGACCATTGTGGTGTCCTAATAAGTGTTTGAAATCTTCCAGCCCTGAAAGTAGAAAGTAGGAATCAATGGTTAAAACCCATGTACAAGGATGCGTATGATGCTGAGAAAAGTGATTCCTCTCTCCTTTCTTTTCTTTTTTCTTTCCTTCTCCATTTTCTTCCTACATTCTCTTCTTATCTCCTGTTTTTCTTCTTTGCGCCTTTCTTTTTCTTCCTCCTGATTCATGAGCATGTTCCTTCCTCCCCCCCCACCAAACATTTGTGCTGCTCAAGAAGGGTTACAGTGCCAACTATGCCAATAGTTGGCATCAAGGGGAAATACAAAGAGACATGTCCTTTACTTAAATGGACGTTTGAGCTGTTATGAACTTGGTACTCAGTCTTGATTCTCTGCCCAGACCAAAGCCATCTGAAATAGAAATGAAAAATGCATGGTTCTTCATCTTCAGTTAGGACTCAATCTATAGGCTTAAATATACTCATAATGCTGACTTTGGTTGTTTGCCTCTTTCGCCCCATTTTTCATAGATATATTCACTTGACAGTGAAATATTAATGACTCCTACATGAATAGGTGCTCATATATGCACACATATACAGAAAGCACATACTTTGACTTACAAGAGCTACTCAGTTACAGACCCTTGAGGATGAGATGTTTGCGAGAATAGACTATTTCCGACAGATCATTTGACATTAAATGGTCTGATTTAGTTTGGCGGTCTTCCGTTTGCCACAGAATGATACAGAGGCATAGTAAACCCAACATCCACAAAAATCTCAGTCCAGATGGAGTCGGGATTGTATTTCAGGAATTTGAAGAGGTGGTTGGGATGGGAAGTTGCTACCCTCCAAAGGCTGTCAAATAATGTCCAGAGAAGTGGCGTTTTCTGTGAAGGTCATTTCTCCCTCCTATCAAGTGTTTCCAGGCCAGCATCAGAGAGGAAAGCTGTCAGTAATTTCTAACCTGGCTGGGTTTTATCTGGTGACCTTGGAGCAAAGAAACTCTAACATAGTGCTGGTTTCTTGAGACATTCATTTGATCTCTCTGTAAATACTGCCCAAGGGGTTTTGTTTCCAGGATGTTCCCGAGAGTTCTACTAGCCTAGGAAGTAAAAAGGGTTTTAAGTACTCGAAATTTTTTTCTAGTTTGCTGTAAAATCGGACAAAGTCTATATAACAAGGCCTTGGATTGCTTTAGTTCTCTATTGTATTTTGGGGACCAAGATTTTTTTAATCCTGTAGCTTCTCTGTTCCTCTCTACTTCTGTTTCCTTTTCTTCATTCTTTCTACTCACCAACTCTCACAAGTGAAACATTTGTGTTATCCTAAATGTATAAATTATTCTTTAGCCTTCTCACTTAATCACTCCAATTTGTTACACAAAGAGTTCAAAAGTTCTTTGTATGATTAGCCAATAAAATTCCCTTCTGTCTTTGTCAAGAGAGGCCTCCTTTTTTCTAGAAAGCTGCCATGCCATCCATGACGCTTCTGGTCTTTGACAGACTAACAGGTGTGTTTACTGTAATCAATGGATCATTCAAGCACAAAAGTTACAAACCAGTCACCTCTCAGTTACGGATTTATTTCTGTGACAAACCTAAATCTTTTGTTATCATCTTTGCTGAAAACATGCACAGGTACATTGCTTAGAATGGTGCTATTATGGAGCTAAAGAAAAAGAATATTTACTTTTGACAGTGACCTAATCTCGAAAGGTTAAACTCTGCTTAAATTCTGACTCTGTGCACTGGAAAATTAGGTCATTAAATAAAAACTCCATTATTTGTTTGTATACATAGTATCATGGGAAACTATTTCTTCTTAAAAGGTGTACGCTTAAAAGAGGAAAGTAGTACTGAGGAAATTTTCAACCTTGAATATTTTATTTAAATGCCATTAAGCTATCAGTAATGTTTGTTGCATTTCCTTTGCCATCATTGCTGATTGCCAATATAGTTGTGGGCAAACAGACAATCTCTTTTATAACTGGCCTCCCCCTACCTTATGTGATTTTTGATGGCACTGTCTAGTGTGGGTGACAGAGGAGCTCACTCCTGTGTTGATGAGCTCCCATGCCTCGAACAGGGCTGTGTTGAATTCAAGTAAGTCTGGCAAGAGGAGGAGGAGGATGGTAAGTGTGGCAGACACTGTTTATACACAGTTCTTGGAAGCCTGGCAGGAGGATCAGAGCATGGCAGGGAGAAGGAGTCTTCAAAAAATATCACTCAAGGCTGAAGAGCACTTTTTAATGGGAAATTCTTGTTTTGACTCTAATTTTATGCTTAGATGCTTTTAATTTGATCCACACTTAATTTGCCATTCCTTGGAGAAGGCATTGATTATATGAAAAAATATCTGCTCTATTGCTAACAAAACAGGACTGGTTTCAGGGGCTACTGTGATGGCACTGTACTTTGATGGTGCCCACCTGGAAACATTGAAGCGCATACGTCTGGAATCATTTCTATCATTTCCAGTCCCAGTCTTCTGGTTGTGATTGCCTAAAAGCTTTGTTAAAGTTTGTAAAGTTAAAGTCTGAAGAAAAACGAGTCAAGATTGGGTCTTGAAAAAGCAGGAAAAAAGCCAAGTTTGAAATTTGAGTTATAAAGCATTGTAAAGGATTATTTAAAGAGTTAAATGGCAGTTGTACATCTGAGAACACATATAATAATATATAAAAGATATATTTATATATATTTGGACTTCGCAAGAGCCAATCACTTTGACACTGGAGTGAAAGATAATGGCATTCAACACTGGTCTGACAAGTTTCAGAGAGACCTAGATAGAGATTCTGAGTTCAGGCTAAGCAACTGCATGGTAATGATTATTTTGGTTAGAAACCTGAAGCTGCGTACAAGATCTACAGAAACGCTATTTCAGAAAATTCAAGTCTTCTATGTTTTAAAAATTAGACTGCCATTATTTCTGAAATTCTAATGGCTGAACTAGCAACAGTAAAGATGTCCAGGTTTCAATGAAATATATTTCATGAATTAGCTTATCATTGCACTGATTTAGCATGCCTAGCAGGTGAGAGACAAAAACATGTGTTATCTTCCCTGGGGAACCTTCAGTGAATGTCATTCTGGCTTCATATGTCTTTCTTCTCTCCCCTTCTTGAACTGATATAAAATTCTAATGTGTGCCCTCTAGTTCCATCTTCATTGAAATCTAGCAAAACCGCTGAAGGTAAGATAGTGGCAATGGTGCATGAAAAAGGGAAAAGGAATACAGTGATTCATAGCATACTTGAAGAAAGTTGCAATTGTTAACAGCACTACTTTTGTATGTAGACAGGTTAAAATATGTCATATATCAGTGATAAAAATCATTCATCTTGGTTAGTTTCTTAAAGTTCATGGGAAAGCCACTCAAAGTATATTGATAACTTGAAAATATTTCCATATGTATCTGGGGCATACCAAGTCTCCATCTCCCAAAACAGTAGTCAAGAAAGTAGGTATACATGCTGAGACTGTCAGTAATCTTGACAGGTGGTGGTTGTTTAAATAGCAGAAAAGGTAGGTATTATGAAAAACCCACCCTGCTTCTATTGTTATGAAAATGAAACGTGACATTTTTCAAGTATAGTACCTCAGGCCAACTTCCCTTATCTCTGCGTCTTTGTTCTTCTACGCAAATTTGAACCCCTGATGCAAATATCATTTTGCAAGTGGTGTTTATTGGTCTTCACATCTGCAGATGCCAGTGCTTTCAGAGAGGCATGATCCTTCTCTTTAAGCATCATTCCCATTTGCTAGATGAGAAAACTGAGGGATATGACCAAATATGCTGGCATGTACTGGTAAGAAAAGGCTTTTGGAATCCCACTCACTTTCACTTTTTCTAGTCCTCTTTTTGCCAATGAGAATGTACAGTCCTTTTTCCTTACCTTTTGCTTAGGAAGCCTGAGCAAACTTTAAGTGGCATCCTCACTTTCTGAATGAAGCAGTCTGGTGAAAGCTTTGGCCAAGATTTTCTTTTGATAATAGGATAGGATGAAAATTATCAATTATTTGTGACACTCTTTGAGAAAATCCACACAGTTGAAAGTAGACTCCTAAAATCTAGCCAATAGATATTGGCACCACTAGTGTAATTTAGGAATATGAGTGCTAAAAGTTACTATTCCTTTTAGAAATTGAAGCTCAGAACTTCATGTCTGTGGAGCATTGGGCCACTATGAATCCACTCTGCTGAGCTCTGTGAAATATGCCTTTTTATTCAGAGCATGAACATATCCAAAAGCCCTTCTAGAATTAACTGAAGAATTCAAAGAATTCTATATAGTATCAGCATGACTATACTTGCCTTTCTCCATCAAAAGAGAAAGTAAGTGTCTCCTGAAAAGGTATACCTTTAAGCTATTAAAAGAAAAAAACCCCAAACCCCAAATAGTGATATATGGAAGTACACCAAAATAGGAATTTATTTAGAGTCTTTATATCAATATTTCTCCCTTAATTGTCTTTCCATTTAAAATAATGCAAATGGCCACCAACAGTTCTTGCAGCCTCAGTAGCCATGAGCATGAGAATTGCATGTGTTCTCATTTCTGTGACTTCAGCGAGCCAGAACTACGCCTTAATTCCCAAACTTAGCTAGAGGAGAATTTAGAAGAGTTGTTTAAAAAGCAGACATTTTAGAACACATGTTTGAGTTGGTTTTGGTTTAAAAGTTACAGCAAAATATCGCACACTTGTGCAAGATTTGGTTTCCATTAGCTACCTCTCAGGTTGTGGTTTTCTTATGAATTACTATTCGCCTATGTAGAAATTAGATTTTTAGCACTGTTTCATAAATAATAATGGCGATCACTTTTAGAATTGCCTTTTCGGGGAGCACATATGAGTGCCTTCCCTTTTGGTCAAATGCCTTAAGCAAGTAGGATTGGGTCTTCCTTTCCTGTTTATTATACGTCCCACTCTGTCATTATCAGGTCTGATGTTTAGCAAAAGAGGTTTCCAATTGCCTGGATGTGCTTTGACAGAACTGACAGCAGAAACTGTATGTTAACTTACTTGAATCAGCGCTGTA